TCTACCTACCTACCTATCTATCTACCTAACTACTTACAATCAGGTGCCATGAAATGAAATTTCTCTCAATAATAGACCTCACATACAAAGGTGATCTCCTGAGATTATGACGCTCCACCTTCAATGTGTCTTTTCTTTGTTTAGATAGCGCAGTACTTGCCATTGTGCTACCGTCTCCTGCAGGATTCGTACAGTCACACGCTGAACAGGTGCATAGCCCAGGAACAACTGGCCATACCACATAGCCTCGGTGTGTAGGAGGCTGTGCCACTCAGGTGTGTGTGAGTGCATGCTGTGATGTTTGCACAGCCATAAAATCTCCCACAGGTGCATTTCTCAGAGCATATTCTGTCTTTAAGCGACACACGACTGTATTTATTTTCACTGGGGGGAAGGAGTTTGCTCTAAAATAGAAGCCAAAATATTCTCTGGGTCCTTTTTGGGGAATTGGCTAGGAACTCCCTAGGTAAAGGCCCCAGCCCCTTCCATTCCCACCCACAGTTCCAGCTGGAGGGCCAGGGAGGCTGCCCGGGCCACAGTCCCATGATCACAGCTGATGCACAGCAGATGCCCAGGTGAGGGTCAGGTGGGCGTGGGCTGATGGCGAGGGTAGGGCCTAGGCATCTTCTGCACTCAAGTGGGGCTGCAGAGCCCCAAGACCACAGGCAGAGAAGCCCCTACCTGCCCTAGGCGGCACCTACACCACATACCTACTCACCTACTCACTGACCAGGGTGGCCTGGTCCTCCCTGTAGGTAGGAAGCATGGGGTGACGATGCCTCGAAGAACAGAGCAGGTCATGACAAGATGTGCATACACCCAGCTAGGGCTTCTGGAGGTCACCCCCACTTGCTAGGACCAGGCGCCACTCTTCCTGCCAGGGTCCTGCCAGCAGCTGGGCAAGACATCGGAGGCAGTGACACCAACCACAGGCCACTTCTGCTGCTCACACAGAGTCCCAGTGCAGGAAGCCATCCCCACGAGTCCTCCCAGGTCCAGGCTACAGAGGACAATCCTTGGGTCATGGACATGGTGGAGGAATGCAGCCTCAGGAGATGTGAGTGGTGGCCCACACAGTGTCCCTGCCTCCTTGGCCTGGCAGCTGCTTTACCTGGCATGGATGCCGGCCCCATCCCAACCCGAGCCTGGTTCAGACACAAGACTCCAGTTCCTTCCCAGCACTCATGGACCCCGGGGGAGTTCCAGTGCTGCATGCTTGCCATTGCCTCTCAGATGCTGTGTGTGTGTGTGTGTGTGTGTGGTGTGAGTGTTTTGTGATATGTGCTATGTGGTGTGTATGTGCTGTGTGGTGTGTGTTACATGTGTACTGTGTGGTGTGTATGTGTGGTATGCAGTGTGTTGTATATGTGGTGGGTGGCATGTGTGTTGTGTGGTATGTGGTGTGTTTGGTGGTTGTGGTTGTGTTGGTCAGTTACTGTCACTGTTTCTCTCTCTCTCTCACACACACACACATACACACCACCACCACCACCATTTCTTCAATCCTGACAAGAAACCTTTAGCTTATTGTAAAAGCTACTACAGTGAATGACATCTGCTTTGGAAAGATGAATTTTTTCCTACTCCCCCCACACATTATGAAAACCCTGGGTATTATACACAAAGCAGGCATGGGAAAATTCTGGTAAAGGCAGGCCAACTAGGGGCCTCAGGACCCAGGGAGTGTCAGGGTGGTGAGTCCCTAGGGTTTGCTTTGGCATCCTATTCCCCAGACTCCACCCCTACTGAGGAGGAATGGAGCACCCCTCCCAGCCCATCAGGGTAACAGAGAAGGCCCAGGGAAGAGTCGGATTTTCACCATTGTCCAGCAGGAACGAGGCCACCCCCACAACGCAGGCAAGAACCACACAAGGAGCTGGGCCTCTCACCCCCGGCAGTGAACCCGGGTGTTGCAGGGGCTGTGTGGAGACCTGGGAGGCTCCCTCCCCACCTGGCAGGAGTGAGGCAGTGCCCCTCTTCTGCTGCTGGGGCAGTATCAGAGAAAAACAGATAAGAGCAAAGTTTTAAATGAGACTTAAAGTCTCAGAAGATAATACAAAAAATGTCCAGGTTTCAGTGGAAAATCATCCACTCTACCCTGAACAGATGAACTCAAACTAAATGAAAAAAAAAATCAATAGATGCTAACACCTAGAAGACAGAGATGCTAGAACTATCTGACAATGATTTCAAAGCAGCCACAATAAAAACGTTTCAATAAGCAATTACAATTACACTTAAACAAAGACACAAAATGCCTCAACAAAGAAATACAAAGTCTCAGCAAAGAAATAGGGGATATAAAAAGAACTAAATGAAAAATTGAGAACTGAAAAATACCATAACCAACACGAAAAGCTCAGTGGATGGCTTGACAGCAGAATGGAGGGGATTAGGGAGAAAATCAGTGAAGTGGAAAATAGACCAATAGAAATTACCCAATCTGAACTAGAGAAATAAAATAGAATGAAAAAAATGAATAGACTCTCAGGGACCAGTGGGATTGTAACAGAAAATCTAACATTCTTGTGATCAGAATTCTGAAAGGAGAGTAGAAAGAAGACACCTTAAAGCATATAAATATACAGTTTTGGGAAAAGAAATAGGACAAAATCTTCAGGACCTACAGTTAGGCAAAGAGTTCATAGACTTGACACCACAAACATAACACATAAATGGAAAAGCTAATAACTGACTCTATCAACATTAAAAACTTAGCCTATGAAAGACCCTGCTAAGAGGCTGAAGAAGATGTTCTAGTATCTAGAATAATGCACAGAACTATCAAAAGTCAACCATATTAAAAAAAAATCCATGGCCAGGCATGGTGGCTCACACCTGTAATCCCAGCACATTGGGAGGCCGAGCGGGAAGGATTACTTGAGCCTAGGAGTTGGAAACAAGCCTGAGCAACATAGTGAGACCTCATGTCTATAAAAGAAATCAAAAGTTAGCAAAGCATGGTGGTGCACAAGTGCAAAAGGACACCTGTAGTCCTAACTACTCAAGAGGCTGACGTGGGACGATCACTTGAGGCCAGGAGTTTGAGGCTGCAGCGAGCTATAATTGTACCTCTGCGCTCTGGCCTGAGTGACAGACAGAGACACTGACTCTAAAATATCAAATCAAATAAAATTTTAAAACTAGCTAGAATTCAGAAGACATGAAGAAATATTAAGCCACATTTGGATTTCATTACACATCTACCAAAATGGCTAAAATAAAAAAAAAAAATTGACAACACCAAATGGTGTCAAAGATACGTAGAAACCGAATCATTCAGGCATTGCTGGTGGGAATGTTAAATGGTAGAGCCACTCTGGAAAACAGTTTGGCAATTTCTTGAAAATTAACCATGGAACCCAGCAACTGTATTCCTGGGTAGGTATTCCAGAGAAATGAAGATTTATGTTCACACAAAATCCTGTACACAAATGTTTACAGGAGTTTTTTTGTTCAAAATCGCCACAAACTGAAAACAACCCGGATAGCTTTTAACAAGTAAATTGTTAAAAAAAAAAAAAAAACTATCAGCATACATAGCCTACTATCAGTAGCAAAAAGAAACAACTTCCCTAAATTTCTAGAGCATTATGCTGAGTGAAAAAAAAAAAGAAAGCCAATCCTCGAAGGTTACATACTCCATCATTTCATTATTACAATAGCCTTGAAATGACCACATTATAGAAATAGAGAACAGATTAGTGGTGCCAGGCATTGAGGAGGATGGGGTGCAGGAAGGAATGGGTGCGGTTACAAAAAGGCATTTGAGGATGCCGTTGCTGGTGGGAATCACTGGCTTGTTGGTTTGTTTCCAGCTCCTAGACTCAAAGGATTGCTGGATGATAGAAATCTTCCATGACTTGACTCTGTCAATGTCAATATCCTAGTTATGATAATGTGCTATGATTTTGCAAGGGGTTGCCTGTAGGGGAAACTGAGTAAAGGGTACATGAATTTTCTCTGTATTATATATCCTATAATGGCATGTGAATGTGATTCTATAATTATCTCAAGATAAAAAGTGTAATTACAAGGGCACAGGCCATAAACATTACATCTGCCTATTTCCATGTCTTGATGTCTTGAGATTCTTCATACTTGTCCATTTGATTGCTTAGGGTAGACCTTGGGTTTTATGACTTCTGCTTTCTCTCTCAGAACACATCTGCCATCATATTGCAAAGCTTGTTCTCAGTCTCCTGGAGCACGAGAGACTGTATGGAGCAAGAAAGAGCCACCCCAGTAGCTTGGGATGCCCCTTCCTCCACCAACTTGGCTACTCAGGGTTGTCACCTGGGTGGTGACAACCACTCAGGTGACACCAGCTTGCTGTGAGACCAGCAGGGACCAGGACACCAAGCTCAGAATCATGCAAGTGCATATGTTGTTCTAAGCCACGAGGAATGGGGGCATTTGTTATGCGGCAGTTGATAACCGCTACAGGCTGAATGGTTATGTGTTAGGGACGCTGTGCATGTGAGATGGACACGGCCTTGGATGAGAAGGTGGCCCAAATTCCTTCTCTTCTGAGGTCTGGGGCTCTATCTCATGGCTATAAATTAAGGTCAGGCCCCTGTAAGGCACTTGCATGCTTAGCTTGGAGAGAGACATTTGTCTACCAAAGACAGGATCTGTGTTTCCTTTTCAGTCTCATCTATTTACAAATGCGCCTCCAGGTTCTGTTGAAATTTGTCTGAGAATTTATGGTCTCAGCCGATCAACCATCCCTTGAATCATTCAGCTTCCTAAAGCCTCACCTCACAACAGGAAGTGAGCCCAGTCAACTTTCTACGAAATAATCCATCAACACCACAGGCTGCATGGTGGACTGATTGACATTCAAAGGTCTTGTATTTGCAGTTTTGCGAGTTATGCCTATAATACTCACAAAGGTGAAAAAACCCCTGTGAATATTATTCAGCTGTGAACTACAGACAGGAAAATATCTCAAGCAAAATAACCATGGCTTGCATTGTTTAGCACTGCATAAATTTCAAAGAGCTTCCAAATCTGAGACGATTTTCGGTCTTTACGGCATTTCTTTGGCATGGGAAGAGGCCATACTTACACGAGGAAATCTAGCTGCCACTCAGTCCTAACACATTAGGACTAGTAAACAGCTAAGTTGAGCAAACTACCTGTCCCCAAAAATATAACATTTTGACCGGTCCTAGCTGCATTCACTTCTGTATCTATAGGAGGCACATCATAGATGCCCAATCTGAATTTCTATGTGTTTTCTGTCATAAAGGTACCTTGCCCAACCTGACAACCTTAACCCCTCATAGACCACCTTTCTCATAATAAGTGTCCAAGTGATGTTTCCCAAGCAGAGCTGAGTGAGTTACTACTGGTGAACAACATTTATGACTGTTTCCTTTATTTAAATGCTAATTTTTTTAAAAGCCCACATGCTGACTTCGTCCACCTCTTCTGTTGGATATATGCAAGCCCCAATAAACACCAGCCAGTGGCGATCAGTGAGGGCTATATGGAAAAGCATCAACAGACTGTGAAGCCCCCATCAACACTTACATTCATAAATACCCTTGGCAGTTCAAACACATTCCCATTTGCGGCTGGGTGACCTGGGAAGCATCACGTATGGTCTCTGGACTTTTGATTTCCCATCCAAAAACAGGAGCAATGATACCAACCTCGTTGGCAGTTATGATGATTAAGAGTAATATGTGCTAAGAGTACCTAATAAGAGTAGCCGTCTGTCAGAGATCTCGTTCTGCATGAGGGCTGCTACAAGGGCAGATGCTCTTACTGTTGACAGAGACTGCATATCGCAGGTCAGTAGAGTTCAAGCACCCAATAGTCTAATCCGAAACAAAAGGATCTCTATCATCGGAGCGAGGCAGAACTGAAGCTGCCTTCTCGTTTGTCAAGACTCAACTTAAAGGACACTCCCTGCAGATGCTACCTCTTTCCTTCTCCAAAGTGGCACCGAGGCCCCTCCATGACTTGCAGTATAGACCATCCTGCTGTGCTGGTGACTTCCCGCCTCTGTACCCGTGTCCTGGGCTACACTGCCCCCGCCCCCATCCTCCAGGCTGGCTCCTGGGAGGTATCTAGGATGGCAATCACGCTGAGAATTCCTACCTCCCACATCCATAGTGTCCACCCCTGCACCTTCCTGCTTCCCTGGAGCATCCAAGTAAGTTCACTCTGGCTGAAGCCAAGTCCCTTTCTCATTTCTCTGTTGCTGAGTTGGGTTGAGCAGAGTCTGGGATGAAATGCTGGTGGTGGAGAGAGGAATGCAGAAGTCTGGCATTCGAGGCTCAGAGCTTGAGGTCTAAGACCCATTTTCTTTGCACCTCCCAGAATGGAGACGGATCCTCCTATCCCAAGATAAGCTCTCACCTTGTAGTCTTGTAAAATACCGTGGAACCCTCACTGTTTTGTAAAAAGTGTGATAAAGCAGATTTGCCCCAAGTCCACAGAAGCATGCAGTTCTGTGTGCCCATGGAGAGGCTGGCTCTGCCGTGGAGACGACAAAGCTCCATTCAGGTTCTTGTTAAAATGCAGATCGGCAGGCAGTCGGTGTGGGTGAGAGCCTGAGACTCTGCATTTATAACAGGGTTCCTGGTGCTGCTGCTGCCGTAGCCCAGGGAGGCCAAGGGCTGGAATCCTGGATTTAGGGGTCACAGCCGTGTGACTTACGGCACAAGGCTTATCCTGTCATCTCTGTAAAATGAAGACAGGGATGCTCGTCTCCTTGGGTTGCAGGCAGAACTGAGAATTCTGTGGGTAACTACAGCTGTCAGAAGGGCGATGTGGTGTCAGGCACAATCTACAGCTTCCTTACACAGTCAACAGCTGCAGGAGCTTCGGGAAAAAGGAGAAATGAGGTATCAAGTCAGGGAAAGACATGGAGAAACGTGAAGTGCTTATGGTTTAGTGAGACAAGCCAACTTGACAAAGTTACAGACTGTATGATTCCAACTACATGACATCCTGAAAAAGGCAAAATTACGAGGACAGTAAGAAGACCAGTGGTTGCCAGAGGTTCGGGTAGAGGGAGAGAGGAACAGGTGGAGCACAGAGGATTTGTAGGGCAGGGGAGCTCCTCTGGATACTGTCATGGTGGATTCCTGTCCTATTTGCCCAGACCTACACAATACAGAACACCAAGCATAAACCCTGGTGGAAATTATAGATTTTTGGCCAACATATCAATATTGGTTCATCAGTTACAACAATGTACCACTCCAATGCAAAATGTCAACAACAGAGAAATGGTGTGTGGGACACGTATAGGAACTCTCTGTATTTTCTGCTCCATTTGTCTATAAACCTAAAATGGCTCATAAAAATAAAATCTATTGTTATTTTTAAAAATGAAAATAAAAACAAACAAACATTAACAGAGATTTCAAATTCTAAAAGAGATACAAGAGCTTAGCAGCAGGAGAACTGTGGCTAGCAGAGGACACAGAGCAGGGGCAAGCCTCCTCCACCTCTATCCTCATCTCTCCACCTTCCATCTCCTCCTCTGCCAAAAAAGAAGCACCAATAATAAAAATACCGGCAGTCCACAACAACCAAGACTCCATCGGTTCTGTGGTAAAGCTGCTCTTTGCCAACCCTAGGGAGATTTTCTATCAGTCCTTTTGAACTCATGGTTGCTTTCCTCCCAGCTCACCAGAGGCAGATCACAACGGCAAAGGCAGCATTTGCCCGAGTGTCCTCTCCAAGGTTGGGCAAGAGGAAGGTCGAATTGGAGGCAAAACATTCTCTAGCAGGTTTGCCCTGCAGCTTTAGGCCTGACTCCGAGTCTATCCATGCATAACAATCTCGTGGAGTGCCCCGCCCAATCTTAGTGCTTGGCAGGTGGGAGACATCACCGACCTTTCTTCAGGAATCAGGCAGCGTCCACACCCCGCCCTGATGTCTGGTCCAGAGCTACAGCCTACACACATGTAGAACTGCCACTTTTTAGTGGAACAGACAGCTCTTATCTACATTTGATCTTAGCCACAAGTCCGGGAAACGATGAGAGCTCTTGTCTATGGAAGCACTTGTTGAAAATATTTTAGTTTCCATGGTTGCTGAAAACCCTAAAGGTAAGATGACCCTATAATTTATCAGTGAAACTAAGATACATTTGAGAATAAATGGCAGAGAAGCACTACAGATAATCTCTAAAAAACTATATATGCACATACATATCAACATGTACATACACAAATCAATTTGTTTTATTCTATTGATAAGCCTATTAAATAATTCTATCCAAAAATAATTTGCAAGAATGAAATGCATTTCAAAAAATAGCATCTATTCATGTTCATTAAAGCGTGACTTAAAAAATGTCTTATATTTACTTATTAATATTATATTAATTTTATTTATTTATTTATTTTAAGACAGAGTATCACTCTGTCACCCAGGCTAGAGTGCAATGGTGTGATCTCGGCTCATTGCAATCTCCACCTTCTGGGTTCAACCAATTATCCCGCCTCAGGCTCCTGAGTAGCTGGGACTACAGGTGCACACCCCTATGCCCAGCTAATTTTTGTATTTTTAGTAGAGATAGGGTCTTGCTATGTTGGCCAGACTGGTCTCGAACTCCTGAGCTCAAGAGATCCACCCGCCCTGGCCTCCCAAAGTGCTGAGATTAGAGGTGTGAGTCACTGTGCCTGGTCTATTACACTAATTTTAAAATAAAACAATAGTTTAATACATTTGGGCACAATCTATGTACTTTTTTATCTATCTCTTAGCCAGATCCATATAAAATATATATCACTAGTATTTTGCTGAAAATGTATTGTTAATATGGTATAAATTTTAACATTTTCAAAATAGTGACTATAATTTTTTTCAAGGTCAAATTTTATGAAGAAGGCACTTGAAAACCACAATAAATCAAATGATGACAAATCCAAATGACCCTTCTCTTCAAACCTTGGTATTTTTAGTTGAGAAAATATTTTATCTGTAGGTCCTGAAATATCCAGTAAGCTCAGATAAATTTCTGCTAAAAGTGAATATTCTCATATGTAAGTTTTTACTGAAATATTAAATACATCAACTTGTAAATTTTCACAAGTATACACCACTTAAATTCTTTAGGTAAAACAGAGTACTATGGAATGGAAACTCTAATCTTTAAGAAAGACTCAAGAGAATATATGTAGATAAATAGAAAAGACCCTATTTTCTTCTTATTTCTTTGAAATACATTTTTAAGCATTTGAAATACAATTTGTTTATATATTTATTTGAAATACAATTGTTTATAACCAAGCATAGAGTATCATATTGTGACATATATGATAATGTAGACATGATATATATGATATTAACTCTAGCACAAAATACCAGGTGAAGGTAAATAGAGTTGCAAGCTTGCAAGACTTTTACATGATAATACATATAAGGTGGCGCGATTTTGATGCTAAATATACTTAAACATGAATAGAATATATAATAATCTCTACAGCAACTGCAAAAAATCAATACTGGCAGGGAAGAGCTGAACAATGCTATTATCACCCAAATTGATACTTTCAGAGAACTCCTCACATGACTTCAAAATCCATATTCCTTTCAAGTACAAGCACGTTGTCATCGCCAAGATAAATCATATGCTGCGCCATAAAATGAATATCAGTCAAGTTAAAACGATTATAAGATATTGAATATGCTCTTTGACTAGATAAAACTGAGTCAAAAATCAACCAAAATACAGTATCTGGAAAACCCCCAAAATATAGAAATTAAATCATATGTTCCTTAATAATTATAAATCAAAAAAGAAATTACAGGAGAAAATATTTTGACCAGAATGTTAATGAAAACACATTAAAAATCTTCAGGTGGTTAATTCAAACTTTGCAAGTTGTAGTTGAAACAGGCTTTCAGAGAAACACGTGACAATAAATGCTCATATGTGAAAATAATAATGGTATAAATTCAAGAACATAAAATTGCATTTTTAGAAGTTAGAAGCAGAAAAAACAGTGACCCAAAATAAATAAGAATAAGAAAATAGTAACGATAAGAGCTAGAATCTAGAATATAGAGAAAAGAAAAACAATAGAAAAATCAATGAACCCAAAATGTAGGTTTTTGAAGATAAAAAAAATCAATAAACTTTCAATATGATTCATTAATAAAAAAGGAGAATAAAAATTACAGATAACACCAATGAAATAGGGGGTGTCACTACAGATCCTATGGACATTAAAAGGAAATAAGGGAATGTGGTGGTGGCCTTTATGTCAATATACTTGACAAGTTAGGTAAATTTATTGAAATAAAATTTATCATAATTGACTCAAGATGAAAGAAGAAATATTAATAGACCAAAATCTGTAATAAAAGGGAGAGCCCCCTTATCCATGCAGTGAAGATTCACTTTATTTGTTGAGCTATCACTCCTTCCCAAATTGAATTTTGGATTCCATACAATCTTCAAAATGTTTCCAGAAGGCATTTTTGTAGAATTTGATAATTGGATTTGGAACTTTATAAGAAATGGAAGCCAACAGACACATGAAAAACTGCTCATCATCACTGACCATCAGAGAAATGCAAATCAAAACCACAATGAGATACTATCTCACACCAGTTAGAATGGCAATCGTTAAAAAGTCAGGAAACAACAGGTGCTGGAGAGGATGTGGAGAGATAGGATGTGGAGAAACACTTTTACACTGTTGGTGGGATTGTAAACTAGTTCAACCATTGTGGAAGACAGTGTGGCAATTCCTCAAGGATCTAAAATGAGAAATACCATTTGACTCAGAAATCCCATTATTGGGCATATACCCAAAGGATTATAAATCATGCTGCTATAAAGACACATGCACACGTATGTTTATTGTGGCACTATTCACAATAGCAAAGACTTGGAACCAACCCAAATGTCCATCAGTGATAGACTGGATTAAGAAAATGTGGCACATATACACCATGGAATACCATGCAGCCATAAAAAAGGATGAGTTCATGCCCTTTGTAGCGACATGGATGAAACCGGAAAACATCATTCTAAGCAAACTGTCACAAGGACAGAAAACCAAACACTGCATGTTCTCACTCATAGTTGGGAATTGAACAATGAGATCACTTGGACACAGGAAAGGGAACATCACACACCGGGGCCTATTGTGGGGAGGGGGGAGGGGGGAGGGATAGCATTAGGAGATATACCTAATGTAAATGACGAGTTAATGGGTGCAGCACACCAACATGGCACATGTATACATATGTAACAAACCTGCACATTGTGCACATGTACCCTAGAACTTAAAAGTATAATAAAAAAATAAAAAATGGAAATACCTCTAATATTAAAATAAATTTTTTAAAAAGAAGAGCAAAATTAATAAAACATCTGACTTCAGAACTTGCTATAAAGCTATAGCAATTAAGATACTGATATAAAAATAGAAAGATTGAGGGCCAGGCCAGGTGGTTTACACTTGTAATCCCAGCACTTTGGGAGGCCGAGATGGATGGATCATGAGGTCAAGAGATTGAGACCATCCTGGCCAACATGGTGAAACCCGATCTCTATTAAAAATACATAAATCAGCTGGGCATGATGGCGTGCGCCCGCAGTCCCGCTACTCGGGAGGCTGAGGCAGGAGAATGGCTCGGGAGGTGGAGGTTGCAGTGAGCTGAAATTGTGCCACAGCACTCTAGTCTGACAACAGAGCAGGATTTCGTCTTGAAAAAAAAGAAAAAAAAGAAAGAAAGGAAGGAAGGAAGGAAGGAAAGAAGGAAGGAAGGAAGGGAGGGAAAGAAAGAAGAAAGAAAGAAAGAAAGAAAGATGACTGAAATAAAATAGAGTACCTTATGTTTTAATAGTCCAT